CTATGGCCAGAGGTACCCCAAGACATTTTACTGCCCAAAGCTAAGCATGTAATGTCCAGTCATCTCAAGGCACATAGTCCCAAAAGCAGATATATTATTTTGAGCACCTGAGGCAGAAAATCTTCTTTTCCTGGCTGTGAAAATCAGCTGCCTGAGGTAACTTGTCTCACTTCCAGGTGGTATGCATCTTGTTTTTTTTAAAAAACAACAACCCAAAACTTGCTTATTTTTTCATGATAAAAGATAACAAGGCAGTTTACAGAATAAAACCAAGCAGTCAAAACAACAATAAAACATATCATAAAGTATCTGAGGCTTAGTAAACCAAACAATAAAGATCAGTGCCAGAAATGCACTCATAAACAGGTAAATTTTAACCGAGGCTGCATTACACTGCAGAACTGATGCAGTTTGACACCATGGCTCAATGCTATAGAATTCTGGGATTTGTAGTTCTGCAATATATTTGACCTTATCTGTCAGAGAGTTCTGGTGCCACACAAACTACAAATCCCCGGATTCCATAGGAGAGAGCCATGACAGGTAAAGCGATGTCAAACTGCATTAATTCTGCAGTACGGCAGCAGCCTGAGTGGCCAAACTCAGTATGTATCCCTCTTATTTAAGCAGAAGTCATTCCACAATATGTTGGCTACTGAAGAGAAGCCCTTTTGGCCGTTGTTTCTGTATGACGGTCCTCCAGTAGACATTATACAGATGGAAAGTCCGTAGCCTCCAACCTTATTGAAGAATTTGGTTCATACAGAAAGAAATCTTGTTAGTTAGTCCTGACAATAGTAAACCCATGGACTCAATTACTGAATGATGCATCAACATATAGGTAAATCCAAATGATTCAATGATTTTACTCAAACTATAAGATTTGGACCAGTGTCTCTGCTGAGCCCCAAATATAGCTAGCTAAACAATTTTATTTGTCTGTGGCACAACCTCTGTTACAAAACATTTGACAAAACAATGTATCAAGTACAACAAGTCATGTGCTGGTGACAAAATTACAATGTCATTAGATGCAGGATGGAAAAAAAAAGGTTAAAATCAAAAAGCAAACAAAACAAACAAAAGGTTACTGGATACAACGTTATTGGATAAAATATCAAACTATCTTAGGGGGGGTTGCAGACTGCCAGAAATAGTGCAAATTGAGTCCACTTTTAGGGTTAGGGTTAGTGCTAGGGAATCATGGGAACTGTATTTTATTGTGGCACCAGAGCTCTCTGACAGAGAAGGCTCAATGTCTCAGAAAAACAACAACAATTCCCATGATTCCCTAGCACTAACCCTAACCCTAAAAGTGGACTCAATTTGCACTATTTCTGGCAGTCTGCAACCATAAGCCAGTACAATTATTTCAGTACTGGTAATATATACATATTATATATTAAGGGCAGC